TGTTGCGGCCGTGGCCCTGAAAAGGGCCGACTCCTCCAATCCGCGGCGAGGGTGCCACCAGCCCCTCGCCGCTCCCCCTAGTTGCTTGCGGGGGAGGGCGGGTCGTGGGTCTCCAGCCCACGCCCGCCCGCCAGGGGTCCCTAAGGACTTCCTGGCTGGTGCTCCTTTTACTCGCCTCCTACGAGAGGCAGGAGATACCCCAGGCCTATTCTACACGGCGGGACCTGGACGCCAAGGGCCCCCCCCCCAGCAACTGGCTGGGTAGGGGGACAGGGACATTATGTCCCCTCCTGCTACTCCGCCTTCCGCCTACTTCGCTTGGGGAGGGGCGGGCTGCCCTTCTCCAACCCCCTCTGGGAAGAGGATTTCTCCCCCTTCCCCTCGGCGATGTCCCGGGCCGGTATTTTCCTTGCCAGGAAGGACCGGCTTACTCGGGACTCCTCTTTCGCCGCTTCCCGCTGGGGGGACATGATCAGCGTGTCCCCCCCATCCGAGGCATCCCCGTCTCCTGGGTTATCCCCGGGTTGCTCCTCTTGTTCCCCGTTACAGGGGGGACGGCCCGGCGGCATGGTAGGGTCTCCCCTAGGCTTAGACCTAACAGAGGAGGCCCCCCCACACCCCGGGGCTCCCAGTCTGTGCGTAGCCTGACCTCCCAGGTCCATGCACAGCGGGCACCTTATTGTGCCCGTACACTCCTTGGCTAGGTGCCCCTTGCTCCCGCAGCGGAAACACCTGTCGCCGCGGTTGACCTCACTGGTGCACCGCTGCCCAATATGCCCAGTCTGTAGGCAGCGATAACACCTGCGAGGCTTAGGCTGCGCGAGCTTGACCTTGGCCCACGCAAACCCCGGCCTCACACTCCCTCTTGCGGAGAGCCTCTGTGCTACCTCCATGGGGCAGGTCACAAAGGCCACTCCCATACGCCGGCCGGGGAGTCTGGGAGGCATGTCCACCCTGACGTCCCCTAGCCGGCATCCCCCCTCATTGGCTATTGCCGTCGCCACTTCCTCGCGGGTGGCCAGGTCGTCGAGCCCCGAGACACGGAGCTCCGCATTTCTTCCTGGCCTGGCCACCCTGGCCCCGTTTCCCTCAGGGCCGCCTCTAGCTTGCGGGCGAGGACGTCTGCTTTCCTCGCCCGATTATCGCCGGGGATCTCTAATAGGATGCCCCCATTTGCCGCCCTCTTGGCCGACATGCCCTCCACCCCTAGGCCCTCAAGGGGGACCTTTCTCCTTGCAGAGCGGAGTATGTCGGCATACGTCTCGTCAGTGCCGCCTGGCACTGTGATGGTGACTGCAGCAGTCCCCTTCACAGGCGGAGGTTGGGGGGGCAGCTTGCCCCCCCTCCCGTCAGGGACCGCCCGCCACCCTTCCCTCTAGCCGGCTTCTCCTTCGCCGGAACGGGTGGGATCCGGGCATAAGGATCCCCCCCGACGCCTTTCCTCTTCCCCCTGGGTTCCCCCGATGGGGGCCTGTCTCCTCCTCCTCCCTTGGTTCCACCAAACCGAGCCTCCACAGCCTCGAGCCTCTTCTCCAGCGATCCCTGGCTCCTGCGGATCTCACCAATAAGATCCGCCACCCATCCAGGGGCCCCTGCTGCCTCCTTCTGTGTTTCCTCCCGGGGGGGAACTTCCTCCCCAGTCGGATCCTCAGAACCTCCCTCCCATATCATTCCCCCCTCTTCTGAAGAGGGGGAGGCGGTGACCACCGAGGCCAGAGGGGCTCCCTCCATCGCCGTCTGCGTATGCGCCTCCCTCGTGTCGGGCTTATCCTTCGCCTGGGGGAAGGCGTCCCTCTTGATCTGCTCGATCTGGGCCGCCAGCCGCTCGACCTGCTCCGCAAGGGCCTTTCGCTCTTCTTCCCCCTTCTGAGCCTCTTCGCGGCCCGTCCTCCGGTCCTCCTCAAACGTATCCACCGATTCGGTGAGAAGGATCTTCATTCTGGTGTTCTCCTCCCGAAGCTCCTCCACCTTCTTCATTGCAGCCTCCAAGTCGTCGGCCAGACGGTATACCCCCACGCATGCCTCCTTCACGAAGTTGTCCAGATCCTCCTTCGTGTCTGGAGGCATCTCTAGCCACCAGGATTCTCCCTCCTCATCAAGAGTATAGGACCTCCAGTCCTCTGCCAACTGGAGAACCCTACCTCCCGCCTCCAGAGGAGAGAGGCCCTGCACCTCCTCGTACAGTTGGGCGGCCTTACCTGGCTTCCGGATGACGCGCTCGCCAAACGTCATCATCCAATCCACCCATCCTTCGTCTTCGTCTTCCCCGAGAGGGTCCAGGTCAACCTCCATCCTTCCTACCTTGGTTGGCCCTTTCCCCCCCGCTTCCCCTTCTCCCGTCTTCCCCCGTCGGAAGTCGACGGTAGGGGGTCCCCCCCCGTTAACTTTCTTGGTAAGAGTGTTATCCGCCATCTGAATACATTCCACTACCCGCGGCGGCTGTTCCGGCTAGGGCATGCCCTCCCCCCCCCATCTCTGGGAGGGGCCCCGAGTCCTCCCGGGGAACCGGAATATGGCACGGGCCGGGGGGAAATCCGCACCCCGGCACTGGCCTCCAGCCCCCTACACGCCCCCACGCTCAGTGCGTGGGGGTCTTCAGGGGCCCCGGACCTCCGACAATCCGGGTACCGCCGCGGGCGCCGCCACGCGGGAGGCCCCACGGACAGTTGGGGCGTCGGGGGTGACCCGTCCCCCCTCCGCCTTGCCTGCCGTGGAGACCAGCTGTTCGCTTCTCGCGCCGGGGCGGGCCCTCGCCAGAACGCGAGGGGCCATACAAGAGCCCCCCCAGCTGGGGACAACTAGGGACGTGACCCCCTAGAAGGCCCCGTCATCCGAGGGACTGCCGCCGCAAGCCAGGGGAGAAAGACACCCCCGACCCCAGCGACAGCCCCCCGCCTCCAGCCCTCCGGACCCCGACCTGGGAATACGTCCCAGCGGCTCCGAAGGGCCCCGGGCCACCGAGCCCCGCCTCGGAAACGTCCGAGCGGCCCCGGCAGCCCGTCACCTCGTTGCGGACGGTGCGGGACCGGTCCCCCATGCCAGGACGCACGTCCTAAAAAGGACGTCGCCCCGAGACACAGGGGGTGCCGGCCCGCGTTGTCCGTCGCCGGGCCCGCATGTACTGCGGGTCCAGCCCCTCACTGCCGGCCCACCCTTCGGCTAGGACCACGTCCCACTACCTCCGGGGTCCGGCCCTCCCCCGCCGCCGGGACAGGACCACGTCCAGCCCAGCGACGGGAGAGCCACCCCCCGCAACTCTGCCGGAACACCGGCGTGCAATGAGTTACGGAGGGTCTAGCGGAGCGCTCTTGGTCAGCGGACGACCGACCTAAGGAACCGCCGGAGCCTAAAAGCGGCACACAGACGGCTCCCGGTCGATCGCCCGCCTAAGCCCCCCCACCACGACAAGGTGGCGCTCCACGGGGGGG